TCCTGGGCAGGAGGTGTGGACAGCGATAGGAGACAGGTCCCTGAGGTCACCTGGGGAGCGGGACAGGAGCTAGGTGCTCCTGGTGCAGAGCTGGCAGGTTGCTGAGGGAAACAGTGAGTCCCAGCTTGAGACCAGCTAACGGAGCCGGCCCTGCGAGAAAAAACACGTTACTGGGGGACGCGTGGGGCCGCTCTGCGCCGTCTCCCAGGCCTTCTCCCCAGGAGCAAGCATTGGCAGGGATGGAGCGATCCCTGCAGGGGCTGCTCGCCGGGCCTGGGAGAAGCTCCGGAGGCCGCACGGAGGTGATGGAGATGGGCTGCTGAGTGCCCAGGGACCACAGCGTCCCTCGCCAGCCAGCCAGCGCTTCTCGGGGCCGGCCTGGGAAACCTGCTTCCCTCCCGCACACAGCTGCAACCGTTTCCCAAAGAATCTGCTGACAGGCTTGTTCCTGGGAGGAATTTGCTCTGGAAAAGCCTGGAGAAACCTGAGCCCAGCTGCTTCCCAGAGCAGGTCCTGCCTGACATGAAGAGCTGGAGGGACCTGTCTGCTGCCCAGTGGCCACCATGGCTTGTGCTCACGGTTGACCCATGGCACGAGGCTGGAATCATCCAAAAGCCATGTGACCTTGGGATGGGCTGGCTGGATCCAGGCTGTATCAGGCTGCTCTGAGGGGTGGGAAACAGAGACGAGCAGCAGCGGTTTTGAGCTGGAACAAGGGAAATTTGGTGTATTATTAGAATCAGATCGGTCTGGCCCCAGGCAGTGCAGCGGGAACAAATCCTGCGCCGTGAGCCCAGCATCTCCCAGTAACGTTCGCTTCTGCTCTCGCCGTGACATAACCCACATTCCCACCTTCCTGCCCACCTCTGAACACAGCTGGGCCTGATGCCGGCTTGCAAATCCTCCCTGGTGTAACGTGCGTTGAGTCATTTGACCCAAAGCTTACTTTCCAGGATGGCTTTTTCCCTGACCTTGCCTGCCACCAGCCTCTGGCCCCCGTGGTATCGCCCAGGAAATCAGCCCAGGGCCGACGGGCAGTCTGGGCAGGACTCCGCAGGCAGTAGGGAGGACGGGGGCAGGGGTGCCGGGGCCCTCCAGGAGCAGGCACAGCTGCATGGCTTTGGGCAGGGGAAGAACAACGCTCCCCGGCCATGCGGGAGCGGGTCCCCCTTTTCCCCCACGTGCTCCCAGCCGCGGCAGCCACCGGCCCTCCCGCGGTGCCGCGCAGGGGGACGTGTTGGCTGAACGGAGGTGTGATTGAACGTAGCTCCTTGTTAAGCACAAGGTAGATCTCACACCCCTAATTCATAGCTGTTGCTGTTTATTAGCGCAAACTGCGGGTTTAATTACCTGCCAGGCTTGAGCTCCATCTTGCTTTCCAGGCCTGAGCCGAGCTGCCTGCAGCTTCTGGCCACTGGGTCGCCTGGTGCCAGGGCTAGAGCTTTCCCAGCTCAGACCGGAGGTCCTGTACGTCAGCAGCAAGTGCCACCAAACCTGGGGGGGCTCCAGGAGTGGGGACAGCAGCCCCCGGGGCCAACGCCATCTCCTGCCGTCAGCCTGGAGATGGAAGGAGGAAGAGGCAGCGCTAGCGTCCCTCGGGTCTGGTGAGTGCTCCCTGTCTCCCCTCGTCCCTGGGCTCCCTTTGCTGGGGAAGGGGGGAACGGCCCTGCC